CGTCAACCCTGTCCTCCCGAGCGGAAAAACGCAGCCCGGGCCTCGGGGGTCAGCAACGCCAGCTCACAGCACTCCCGCGATCTCGCCGGCGGTAACCTCCGCTTTCCTTTCTGCTCCCAGAGCGCTGCTGGGCTCCAGCGAAACGGGTGCTCGCCGGAACCAGAAATCATCCCCTCCGCATAAGTGTTTAAATATATACAGTTTCTGATTAACTCTCCTTGTTGCTCTGCATCTCTCTTTTGCTCCCTTACTACATTAAACAAACAAAAAAAAAGCATCATAAAAAAGAAAAAAAACCCAAACAAACAGGCTTTTCGGTTGCAAACGCCGATGCTCCGGCGGGTTTTCGGATAGAGGCTGGAGAGGCCAGCTCTAACACGGGCTGCAGCCAAGGCCTCGTGGCTAGTAGTCTGCAGTCGGGATTTCAAAAGGAGCCTGGATCGCAAAGCCCCACTCCTTTGGCACTTCAGGGACTAATTCCTAACTCTGTTTTTGTGCATGATTGTAATGAGACAGATAAATTAGCACTGGTTTCATTTTAATAGTCGCTCTGTGCTCCGTATGGATGCAGAGTGAAATACGTGTATATATATATATATATAAAAATGCATGTGTGTATAGATACGCGTACTCTCACAAGATTTTAAAATCCAGCCCCTCTAGAAAGCAGCAAATCCTCCTTTAAAACTGTGTTCCCTTCCTGCGCTGAAATGCTCCTGTCGTCAGCATTTTCCTACTGACAACGAGAATTTTCCCTTTTTTCTCCCAGCCTGTTATCAGAACTGCTCTGAGAGATTTTCCACAGCAGCCCGTGAGCCAGAGTGGATTAAAAAAACTCCAAAAAAATAGACTTCCGAATTTCACCTGAGCTGCATCCTTCTTCTCTTATTCTTTCTAAGCCCTCAAGCGCTGCAATTTTTTGCCGGGGGTGAGGCAACGTGCAGAAGATGAGAGCTCTCCGTCCCTCTGGGGACCAGAAAAGAGGGACGTGGGGAAAGGACCGCGGCACTGGGAATTTCACACAAAGTTTGCCGGGTTGAGTTTTCTCCGTTTTGAACACCACCTTTAGCTTGCGGATTGGCTTGTGCTTTCTTATTGCAGAGAAGGAGGCCCGCATCGCCCATCACCTTCCTAGCGTGTTTTCCGAGCAGCTATACTCCAAAGCACAGCTACGGGAGCTGACCCCTATAATCATCTTTTTTGACTGGCAAAGAGTCTAGGAGCCCTCGAATGCACGGACAGCCCCGCGCTGCGGTGCATCCGTCGTGGCAAGCACGGTAATGGGTCAATACAGCGTCCTGCATCACGCAGGGGTCCACGCCACGGCGGGGGAAACGTGGAGCGCCAGCAACAGCCGCCAAAGCCAACAGGCCTTACAGCTCGCAGGAGAAAGTGGTATGAAAAATTACAATCATAAAGACAGCCCGTGGCCTTCCTCCGATTTGGTATGTCAAGCTACTTCATTAAGATATAGAAACAAAAGAAACAGAATGCATGTCAATATTGTGCCCCTACAGAAAGTGTCCAGCACCAGCAGATAAGCAGGAACGAAGCGTTTCCCTATTGCTTCATTCGTTTCATTCCCAATTTTTTTTTTTTCAGGCGTCTCTTAATTTGCAACACACTGTAAACACAAGGAAAGGAAGTACATGCGACAGAGGCAAAGAGCGCAACCCTTCTGACTGTAAACAGGATTTTGCTTTTTCGCCTCTTCCCTCCTGAGGGTGGGAAAGTTCGACCTTTCTATTCCCCCTCTGTAATGTATTAATCAGGCACCAAAATAAGGAATCTATGGAAAAATATTTGGTGCAAATTAGGTAACAGCAACATGTCCACCACAAGATGAGTAGGGCATCAAACACAACATTTCTTAAGCTAACATGCTCCAGCTGCCATCCATAGAAATAGCTAAAGAACCCCTAACGTGTTTCTACTTATTCGAGAGGTATATATACAATCCTCATGAAATGCAGGATTGACAGGCCAGACTACCACAACTAGTTCCTTCGTGTTCAAGACTAAATCTTCTGCAGCACGGGGTCTCTGAGCTCCGGGAACGCCAGCTCCCTTTCACTGGGCCAGTATCCTGTACGTGCAATATCTCCTACCGCTAGATATCGTACCGCCAATTCCTCCTTCTCGCTAACGTGCCTGCAGACTTTTCCTCTCAATCAAATGGCTCAGAAGGCAAAATTTTGCTGCAAGGGTTGATGGCCATACGACCTGATAAGGAAAAATGGTGCGTCCAGCCAGTTCTTTCAGCTGTCCGAGCCGAGCTGTGTTTCAATGTCCACCCTGCAGATCGGGCACTTCTTGCTGGTGGCCAGCCACTGATCCACGCACACTTGGTGGAAGAGATGCATACACGGTAAACGCCTGCGGAAAGAAGAGCGCCTTGCTGTTAAGGTCACATGGCCAGAGGAGGTCCATGGGACCAGCCTCACACCGTGGGAGAGCCTGGAAAGGCTGGCCTGAAAAGGGCCACTGCGGGGGCAGTGGGTTGGAGATGACAGAGTTTTTCTAGGCTGAAAAACACTCAAAAAAACCAACACGCTCCTGAAGCAAGTTGTTGCCATGTTTAATGACCCTGACTGCTGCTGGCAAACAGCTGTGAAAAGGGGGGGACATCTGCGTCCTTCCCAGCGGGTAGGAGCTGGAGACCACGGCCCAGGGTCACGGGCTTTTACCATAATTTGGTCATCCTTGAAGCCCGAGTGCTAACATCCCTCAGCTCCACGTGGCCATCTCAGGGTCCTCAGATCTGTCCTCCTCTGCTACCTGCAACGTGGCCTATCGCCAGTCAATTACGCGGCCTTCATGCAGGTGATCCAAATCTGGAAAATACTATTTAAAACAGCCCTCCTGCTGTTGCAGACCTTTTTCTACACATGGCCCATACTAACGTCCATGCAATAATGCTAATTTGCCTGGACCTTGCAGAGCTCCAAGGGGGGGTTTGTCAGGTCAGGAGCCAGGACCACCCTCCACAACTCCCACAGCAAGTTACCCCCCAAAAACACAGCTGGGATTGCATGGAGAGGTGGTGGAGTGGGGAGCAAAGGGAAGTGGGGAGCGGATCATACCTCACGTCTTCTCCATCTTCAAGCATGGACAGACAGATTGTGCACTTCTCGTCAGTGTCTGACTCCTCGCCATCCTCTTGCTCAGCTTTGCCCTCCTGCGGTCTTCTCTGCAGCAAGGTGAGAGATATAAATCAGTTAGGACCGGACTTTCTAACACTTGCCCAAGACTGTGGAGTTGGACCAAGGTGAATGACGTGGGCTTCGTCTATTGGCTGGATCCACCAGGCTAGGGAAGTCTGCCCAGCCAAAATATCCAGAGCGGGAAGGATGCCACTGGCCATGGGGATGGTGGCAGCACCCCAAGGTGTCAGGGAGCCCCAGAGGAGCGCCACTGCCAGGCATGGCAGCTGCACGGGCTCGTCCGCAAACTCTGTCCCGCGAGGCAGGGCTTCATCTGAGAGCTCCCCACTTTTTTCCTCCCAAACGCACATCCAGTCTTATTAACATCCTTTTTTTTTTTTCATCCAAGGGACAAGCACTCCAAGATAGACACAGAGGGATTCGCATCACCTCCAACCTGGCCAATGCAAGGTACCTTCAGCAAGCAGGTGAGGTTACTACACAAAAAAGCATTTCTCCCCTTTTCTATTTAGCTCTATCTGACTCAGTCCAAGCCCAGCCGGGAGAAGACTTTTGGCCCCAAGTTCCTACCGGTTAGGGGGCGGGCTCTCCCAGAGGGGATACCCTGGCAAAGCAAGGGCGTTGAGCAAGCGCTGGTGCAGCAGAAGGGCTCCCTCGCCTCCCAAAGGCTGCCGCCGCGGGCAGTGGCACCTGCATGCAGACAGGGGTGGGTTGGCATGCACAGCGCCCCCTCGGTGTGTGCACTTTCTTACCATGGGTGGACAAGTCATAGAGGGGGGAAATTGCACGCGCTGGGTGGGAGAAGGCTGACACCCTTTTGAAAATTTGGCCCACAGCTTCCTAGCCTAGAAGTGAGAAACAGCCAGCTGAGCCCCACGAACACGTCAGCCCGGGATCCCTGCAATATGTCAAATAGCCAGTGACAGACAGGCCTGGACAGGTCTGTATTTTACATTCCTCCCCAGTTTTGGGAATATCTTAATTTACAGCATTGGTTTGCCAGCCCTAAGGCTGACTACCCACTGACATCCTCTCTCTGTCCTCTGCATACCTACAACTCTTGGCTGTGAGCACTGCCGCTTCTCAGCTCACCTTCTTGTACTTGTGCGGGAAGGTGAACCTCTCGATGGTGTTCTGCACGGCGCCCCGGCTCACGCTGCCCAGCCTGTCCTCCAGCTGCAGCAGCTCCTTCAGCAGAGAAACAGCAGGAAAAAGCCATCAGGAGAATGCCTGGGACACAGGCCCCAGGGACAAGTGGGAGCCACCGGCGGGAGCCACCAGGAACCAGGCCCTGGCCTGTGACGCTCCTTCCCCACCACGTTTTACCTAGGAAAATTTCCATGGAAAGCAATTTGGTTGGGCTTTAAGGATGGATTTGATCCCTGGAGCCTGAGCTGATAAGCTCAAATTTTGAGCTAGGGGCTCAAGGTGCAGAGCTGAGAGCGGGATGTCAAATATTGCAGAAATTAAAGTGGAACTTGATCTCTGTTTGATAGGGGAACGCAAGCCTATCAAAAAATCAGCACTTTGCTTACAGTCATAAACTGAGCCAGAGTCAACCTCAGGCAGACCCAGACAAGACCGTCTTTTACCAAAACTGTTCAACCCCTTCGCCTCTCGATTAACACTGAAACTGCCAGAGGCCTCAACCTGCTCATGAGCACTTCATCAAATCAGTGCCACTTCCCCATCATTTCCCAGGTGATGCGGGAACGGGGATGATATTTCCAAGCTGGCCCCATCTCAGCCCCTTTCTTTTGCTGACCCAAGGAGACTGAGCAGAGCCTGTATCTCCATCCTTGCCCTTCCTGCATCCCCCCTCTGCGATTACCGCGCTGCAAAGCGGAGCTGTACGAATTTACGTCAAAGCTTGCACGCTTTCCCAGGGCTTAGAAATTTAATAATAATTCCAATCTGCGAGATACGTACTTCGTAGCTTTCCCGCACAGCGGATGTGTGCCTGTTTGGATTCAGGCCCTGAAGAGCAAGTAGCTGAAGCTGAGGATAAGGGTAATTTCTGATTTCATGAACGACCTGCGAGAAGCGAGAAAGATAAAGCCGCCTGTGTTAGTACAGCAAAAACCCTTCATGTATCCTGATTTAAAATAAGCACTTTAAAAATGCAAAATTAAAGAGCAGACTGACACCTTCATTAATGGAAGCCTTTTAATAAACAAGAAAAAATGAGGTTTATTAAGTAAATCTCTTATAAACTGATAATTTAGAACATACATTTTGTCTGAACAAACTACTTGCAATAATTTCTGCCGCACCTATAATACTGTGGTTCCAGGCCCTCTATACGGGTTAGCTTAAAAAGAGAATTTTTTAAAAAGGGTGGATTCCTTTCCATCTGAGCTCTGACTTTTTTTGCCCTACCATAGGGCGCAGGTGTCAAGATCTGACTCCAAGATGCTGAGGAAATAACACCACCATGGGGTTTCCAAGGATGCTTTAAGGACTAGCAGAGCCCTGTGTGGCTCAACTCAAAATACAACACCCTGCTAGGAGAAGGGCCCCTGAATAGACCCGGTCTCTGCCTATGCAACAGAGAATTTACAGACAACGGTGAGGCCGATGCAGCTGGCAGTTGCGTGATGAGGACGTGCATGGGGATGATGGGGAATGAGACACCTCCCACGAAGTCATCTGCATGCTGGAGCCTTTTCCCAAGGATCAAGGCCAGATTCACCCTCAGTTACAACAAGCACCAGTCTGGAGTAATAGCACCGACTGCATCTTTCCAAAGCAGCCGAACGTCCTCCCTTGCAATTTTTCCCCCCCCTTTCTCTAATCCAGAGAGCGCTGATGCAACACGATCCTTTCAAATGCTCCCTCCCACAGCCGGAGATAAGTGGGATCCTCAGCAGACAGGTGATAGAGAGATAGCAGCCTTTATTTTGACTGCCTGCTGGCAGACAATGCATAAAACATCTTGCCGAGAAAGCGTTTCACTTACCATCTGCGTCGAGGACGTGCTCCTGGGGAAGTGGTGCATCCTCGGGGTAGCCAAGTAATGCTGATAGGGCTGGGGGACCGGACGGACCTGGAACTGGGCGTGAGTCAGGCCTGCGTCGACGCTGAGATCCCTGCGGGCGCAAGACCAAACAATATGCAATTTTGATGGTGTGGTTTTTATGCTGTTGCCTTTGACAAGTCAGATCACGCTCACAGAAGAAGAGAGCAACATCCCACCGGTGGGATCTCGCCTGCCACAGGTGCCTCTATCTCAATGCCTCAATCCAGGGTGATGCTACTGCTTTAAATTGAGTTTCCTCGGATTTCTATGGTCACCATTTCCCCAGCCAGCACAAAAGCGTGAGGCTACTGCCAGTTGGCATATGTGTTAGCCAGAGTCAAGAGCTTTATGGACGCAGTTTAACTTCAGAGCCCTGGGACCACAGTCTGTCCAGAAAAGGTAATAGGTTTAAGATATTTCTGGATGAAGCACACGCTCTTCTTGAACCCTGCTCCTGCAGCCTGGCCTGGGCAAGCAGAACGGGAACTTGGCTGAGCACCTGGGCCAGGACTCAGTTCGGTGGCTTTGGGCACTTCAACTCTTCCAGAAAAAACAACCTATCTCAATGGTGAGACTTCAAAAGGACTGAGATCCACGTTGCAACCTGAGGGAGAGCTCCCAGCTTGCGGTACGGCACTTTGGACCCCTCCGTCAAACAAAAATCATTAACGTGCCTGCAAATGCCTCAGTTTCGTGCAGGCACCATCCGGCAGGCAAAGACGCCACACAACCCTCTTCCCCTCGCTGCTGGGAGTGGAGACCCAACACAGCATCTCCATCTCTAATCCAATTAGCTGATCCCTTGTTGCTCCAGCGAAAAGAATCTCTCACAAAACAAGTGCTGTGAATGTCATTCGCTTTATCATAATTACAAAAGCCGGCACTCTAATAACCTTGCTTGTCCCATGCCAGCTGGAGCAAGCTAGGCAGCTAGACAGACAAACCTTGGCCATCATAAAACTCAGGAGACATCCAAGAGGAGCGCAACCAGGGTGGGAATCCACAGCACAGAGCATTTTCCGTCTCCCAAGTCACATTTTCAGATATTTATCCCATCGTTCAAGACTATTCCCAGGTGGACGGAGGGCTTGGCTGGAAATGGGGAGACCTTGGATCCATTCCCAGCCCTGCCGCTGGCCTGATGCATGACTTGGCCATCTCCTTTCTGCCTTCCCAATTCCCTGCCTGAAATGTAGCCATGATAATAGCTCTGTCCACAAAGTGCTTTGAGTTCAAGTGGTGAAGAGATGTCTCAAAGACTAATGGCAACTACCAACTTGCGTAAGCTGTTGCAGCAACAGAGCTGCTGAACCATTTGTGCAATTGTGCATCCGATTGTTAAAATCTGATATTTAGGCTCTCAGAGCGACGCTGTAGGTCCAGAGCAGAATACTGCATGGAACGGTGTTTTTCCACTGTTTTGCCGTGGATAAGCAGAGTGCATTAGCTGAAGAAAGCCAAAACCAACCATCACCTCCTAGGGTGTGCTCCACGCACAGCACCTTGATGCTCAGTTGTGAGATCCAAGAGCTGCAACGCCTGCACTGCACGGGCTGCCAACAGCTATTAACTGACGGATAAGGCCTGAGACAAAAAGACTGGATAGCAGTCACTAAATGTCTATTCATGAGATCATTTCAGGAACAAAATAGGAGTTTATTGCTTCTTCATATGAGCATTTTAATCAAGGTTTGGCTGTCCAAGATGACTGATCACCTCCAGCTCTTCCTGCCATCCCCTCTTCACATGAAGGCGCACACTACTGCCTTCAAGCCAGTGCCAGCGGAGCTGATGTGGTGATATATTAGACAAATGTTTTTACATTGGTCACTGGGCAAAATTGTCCAAGTGCCCCAAGGAGAAGTCAGTCACCAAATACATATATTTACAGTGTATGCTTTCCTGCCATCCCCGCTCTTCAGGTTTTACAAGGTTGTGGAACGACATGACGGGGAGAGGGGGAGAGGAAGAGGGAAACATTAAGTGATGCTTTATCAGATTCTTCTAATGATTATATTTAAGCACAAGACACACCAAGAGAGACAAAAAGACAGACTCCATCCAAATTGAACATCAGCTGCTTTGCAAACTGATCAGAACAACATCACATTGGCCAAATTCAGATCTCAGTGGCACCAGTAATGGGGACATCTGAGAAAAAAGTGGCAGAAGGATCTGGCCATATTTTAGGCTGTGTATTACTACCCCTGGAGGAGAGAAAATCCTATGTTCAAAGAACTCTCTATTTGCAGAGCAAAGCACTTAGATGTTCAGAAATGTCGTAACTGAGATGTCCTGTGCCATTTTATTTTGGCCCCCTTGTGCATACGCATTATGATCGTCTCTGATTGCGTGTTCACTTGCTATTTTTTTCCATTCAGTGCACAGAATAGGCTTCACTCAGCTAACAAGCAGCTACTCGAAATGTGCTTTTATTTTCTTACTCTTTGAACTTGGGCCTTATAGCTTCGTAATTGTGCAAGACCTCAAAACCTGCTCTGAAAACAGAACAACCAGTTTCCTCCTCAGCTTTTCCAGGATATTGAACACTATAGTGTGCAAACTATTAACAAATATTAATTCATTTACTTCTATGGGTTAGGGTAGCATTGACCTCCCTAATTTAGGGCACGGAGAGGGTTGTGGCTGCTCTTTTTGAGCAATGGTGGACTGCAGAAGATCTTGTTCAGCCAGAGATGTTGGTCTGCAGGAAAAAGACCCTGGGCGATGCTTCACCAGAGGCGATGCCTTACAGAGGGAAAATCCCCCGGGGAAGGTTGCTATTTAAGGTG